CAAACAATTATATAGTTTTAAAACATTATATATATATATATATATTAAAATTTTAAAATTATTAAATTTTTAATGAGAAAGACTAAAATTCCACAATTATGATATTTGAAAGATTAAAATTGTGAGACTAAAATTACACAATTATAATCTTTTAAGGACTGAAACTACTCAATTAAAATTTTAGAGATCAAAATTGCATAATTATAATATCAAAAACACAATTAAGTAAAGAATATTTTATTTACAGTTATGGAACGGGACGTTCTGAAACCAGAACGGCCCGTTCTGATTTCAGAACGGCCCGATTTGAAAGCAGAACGTCCCGTTCTGATTTCAGAACGGGCCGTTTTGAAATCAGAACGGCCCGTTCTTATTTCAGAACTGCTCGTTCTGCTTCACTGGTGGTGTTTTAATTTTGCAACCAGAACGGCCCGTTCCAATTTCAGAACGGGCTGTTCCGGATCCAGGTGTCTTAAAAAGAATTTTCTCATCCACGTGGCCAAAAGTTAACTCCGTTTAAATAATTTGGACGGAAGTCCCACATTGAAACCAATTAATTAATTTGGGACCAATTTGAGACCAAAAATTAATGAAGGACTAAATTGAAACAAAAAAAGATTATAAGGACCAAAATAGGATTTTAACCTTAAAAAAAATAATTTGTTTTTAGGTTAAAAAATCATCAATCTTGTGCTCCACCTTACCCAACGCGTTGCTTGCGTGCAAGAAAAACCAGAGCGGAGTTTGAGATTGGGCTGCTACCTCAAGATTGAATCTTTTGATAAATATTTTATTTGTAACCTCCAACAGCAATTTTCATTTGCGAGAATCGTTAACCATATTTTAGAGGTCACATAGCAATAGTTGCCGTTCTACTTCTCAACCCTTTTCGTAATTTTCTTTTATTTATCAATTCTTCTTCATCGCCTTTCTTGCTTCTCTGATTGATTCATGTATAATGAACGAGTATCGATTTCTGGGTACCCATATAAGCATTTCTTTGCACATTCGATAGGTTCAAGCTGGAATTTCAATTTAATCGCTGTTGCCTAGCCACTGCTTGTGATAATGCTTCCTATCTTCCTCACTCTCTTTGCATAAAAATATGTTACTTATGCAATTAATAATGTCTTTGTGAACAGGGAATGAGGGGTTTGCGAAGCCTTGAGGTCTGGAAACTGGGGGTTGTCAACTATTTGGATGCATTGAAACTGCAGGAAAAGCTGGCCTTGGAAAGAAAACTTCATAAAAGACGTGACACTCTTCTTTCTTTACAACACCCCCCTACTTACACTGTTGGCAAAAGACAAACTGTTCACAATTTGTTAATCCCCCAACCAGAGTTAGAAAAAATTGGAGCTGAACTTCACTACACACAACGGGGAGGAGACATTACATTTCATGGTCCACACCAAGCCATTTTGTATCCTATTCTATCGCTTCGTGACATGGGGCTCGGTGCTCGGAGTTTTGTAGAGAAAATTGAGTTAACCATGATTGAACTAGCTGCTATGTATGGTGTGAAAGCTTGTCCAGGACAGAGCGGTGAGACCGGGGTATGGGTTGGAGAAAGGAAGATAGGTGCAATAGGCGTTCGGATATCGAGTGGGATTACTTCTCATGGGATGGCATTTAACATTGATCCTGATTTGAGCTACTTTAGGCATATTGTTCCCTGTGGGATTGCTGATAAAGAAGTAACATCTTTGAGAAGGGAGACAGATTTTGTCCTTCCCGAGGAAGAAATAATACAGAAGCAGTTGATTTCGTGTTTTGCAAGAATCTTTGGTTATAGTAACCTGATCTGGAAGGAGGATGCTTCAACAATTTTTGATAAAGAAACTGAATGAGATGAGCTATTCTAGCCACCAGATAGTTGTATAACATTTTTTATTTCATTCTTTGAGAAATCTTTAACCAATATAATTCTTGTTTGTTCTACATATACACATTCGGTTTAAGCCCTTGTTTGTATGATGCATCAATTAGTCAAATGCTTTGCATTCTGCAATTGTTTATTTTATTATTATTTTTTTTTTCTGAATTTTTGTGATTGACTGATAGTTGAATGATAGAAATGCATATCGTACCCAAGTTTATATATTTGGTTGTATGTGACTTGAAAAGTAGAAAAGATAGTTGAATTTGGATGTAGTGGTGATTAAGAAAATGCATGTTTACCACAATCAAATGTTGATTCCCTCATCCTCACACTTTATCTGAATTTTGGAGCCACTTTTAGTAATGACTAACGAGTACTGCATATGTTAAACAATAAGTACTTGGTAGGTAGTGTATTGTGATGCTAGCATGAATTGGAATTCGGTAGTGGTCTTGACTTCATGAATCATGACCATGTGCTAAGCAACCTGAATATTTATGTTCTTAAGATCAGGTTTGGGAGATCAGACCAGAGATTGAGACTATACTTCATATGTTGGTGGTTTTTGTAATGATGAATCTGTTTGGTTGGCTGTCAAGACTACAAACTTCAATTAAATTCCTTTTTGATCAGAATGAGTTTACTTCTGTCACGTGACCAAAGAAATAGCAAAGCAAGGAGTAAAATAACCATAAGAAGAATAACTGAGGTTCTGATGACAACTAAGACAACAAGCTCATGAATCAAAGTCACTTGTATAAACAATTAAGTGAATTACAACTTACCATAATCATCCAACATAAGCAGAATAATCAACCATGCTGAAAGGTGTTTCTGCACTAATGGGGATTGAACTACAGTATATGTTACTGCTTTGCACCAGAATGTTATTGTTGAACAATTTGATTGAACTACCCAATTAATTTTAATCTCTAAGAAAAACATTTTGTTATGATTGCTAATTAAAATTGTTGTCTATTCTAGCTTAATTCTATTTTATTCTTGCCAACATACACCATATGTTTTTGTCAGCAGAAAGAATATTGTAGCCAGAGTTTCACTGCAGTGACATGCATAAGCTATTTTAACTAAATTCTAGACATAGATTTAAGTTAGCCCTCTCCATTTCAACGAGGGCATTTGGTCTAGTGGTATGATTCTCGCTTTGGGTGCGAGAGGTCCCGAGTTCGATTCTCGGAATGCCCCTATTTTTTCATCTTCATCTTTACCTGTATTATTCTCATGTATATTTTGTTGTCAATAAATAGGCTCAAAGACATGCACTGCTTTCTCAGCCAAAAAAGAATACTTGCAGTTGCGGTTCTTCCACCAAAAGAACTGGAGAAGATGTGAACACAGACATAACAATCTGTATTAATTAGCCTTCACAATTGTGCACCAAGACAGTTACCAGGCACTCAGAAGTTGCTTTGATTTTGGTATTTCTCCACTAGTTTGCAGGCATCAGTCACAATACTGATATCATGGTATGTGATCTTAAATCTAAGTACACCATTTAAACTACATTCTATAGTGAAGTAATATTGCAAAATCAAATGTTTTTTCAAATTGAACAAGGGGGTTAAGAATTGTTGGCCATGATGTCCGAAACCCAAAAATATCAAAATCTTAAAAACAAATGTATTAGCACAATTATTTATTTGTGTCCATTACATATGTAGCATTAGTAAGTATCTTATTTTATACAATTTACAACACTCAGATGACAATGACATCTGTTAAAACCTACATATCAAATCACATGCTATCTGATTTGATGCAAGCCAGTCAGAAAAGGGAAAAAAACAGTATGACCAGCAGAAGCTACTTCAACCAGCTAGGTTCAGTCTGTAATGCAACATACAAAGAGAAACATGTTGCAGACTTCAGTTCTTTGATTTAAAATGTTTTACAAGTCAATCAAGTCCACAACTGTATCAACGTTGGTGGAGTTTTTATAAGAGATCATGAGGCAACAAACTTCCCTATTGCTGATAGATTTCAGACCCCTGCACTTATAAAAAACATTAAAAGTGAAACTAATGTTTCAACATTTTTGTAAAGTAGAGAATGCTACAAATTTACTGATGTCACGTGGTAAAAGTCAGATGTGTATGATAGAAGCAAAGTTTTAACTTCAGAATACACCCTAAAATAATTTCACCAAACCAATTTATTAGTTTTTAACATTATTAGCAAATAACAAATTTGCAGAATAAGGCTTTTGATCTAGTTGTATGATTCTTGCTTAGGTTGTGAGAGATTTAAAGTTCATTCTTAGAATGCCCTATGTTTTGATGATTTGGAAGCTGACAAGCTTGACCTGACTTGTTAATTGTGTACTTAAAAACAATAAGCATTAGGTATTATTTTTAAATTTCAGCCTTTTGAAGCTCTGGAAGCTGACAAGCTTGACTTGTTAGTTAGTTTGTTTAAATAGCAATAAGCATCAGATGCTCCATGTGAATGAATGCGTTGGAATGAATGATGTGATACATTTACAGTATTAACAGGAAGTTTTTTTTAATACCAAGTGGCAGCTTGCAACTGAAAATTTAATATAATAATGTGCAAGTCACAGTTGATCATTAAAATATAAAGCCAGAAGGATAAATAAGTAAACTCTCTTTGATTCCTTCACTAGAAAAACAAGTTACACTGACTGACAATTGCCTATCCATGTAAACAAATGTGGTCATTTGTATGAAATTTACTAAAGAACTGCAGATAATTTGACATACATAAACAAATTTATCAGAAATCTAGACATAGATTTGACTTAGCCCTCATTTCATCAATGTGGGCATTTGGCCTAGTGGTATGATTCTCGCTTTGGGTGCGAGAGGTCCCGAGTTCGATTCTCGGAATGCCCCTTTTTTTACATAATATTTATCTGTGCCTATATTGTTTTCATGTGTTTCTCCACTGACTAGGCACTGCATTCTCATCCAGAATATAATACGTGCAATTGCTTTGATTTCCATATGTCTACACAAGTTTTCAAGCATCAGTGGTATGAGATCTAATTATGCCATTTGAAATCTACATTCTACAATGAAGTAATATCACTAAATCAACTATGTTGTTTCAAATTGAATAAGGAAGGAGGTTGTGAATTGTTGTCTTGTCCATGATGCCAGGCACCTAAAAATATCAATCTTAAAAACAAGTGTACGAGCACAATTATTTACTCATGTCCATTACACATGTAGCATTAGCAACTATCTTTATTTTACAATTTACAACACCCAAATGTGATATGAGATAAGCTATATGTCAAATCACAAGCTGTCTGATTTTATGTAAGCCAGTCAGAAAAGGAAAAGAATACTAGTATGACACCCAAAGATATTAATTAAATCAGCTTAGTTCAGTCTTTAATGCAACATGCAAGCTGATACATATTGCAAAACTTCAGTTGTTTGATTTAAAATATTTTAGCAGCCAAATAACAACTGTACCAATGTTGGTGGGGTTTTTATGAGGTTATGAAGCAACAAATTTCTCCCCCACTGATGGATTTCAGCCCCTTCATTTATGAAAATGTAACAACATTAGAAGTACAAGTAATGTATCAAATTTGGCAAAAAAGAGAGTGCTACCATTTTAGAAATGTCACGTGGTAAAAGTCGGATGTATAAGTTAGGAGGAAAGTTTTAACTTCAGAATCTACCATAAAAAAAATTCACCAAATTGATTTATTAGTTTTTAATATAATTAGCAAACAATAAAATTTTCTTAGTAAGGCATTTGGTTTAGTATTATGAATATGATTCTTTCTTAGGTTGGAAAGGTTCCAAGTTCATTCTTGGAGTGGCCTTTATTGTGAAGATTTGGGAGCTGACAAGCTTGAATTGACTTGTTAATTGATGTTATTAAATGTCAACAAGCATCAGCTTTTATATCTAAATTAATGTCAACAAGCATCAGGTTTTATATCTAAATTTTAGTCTTTTTGAAGCTTTGGAAGCTGACAAGCTTGTTTTCTTGGTGTGTTTGGTTAAATAATATTGAAGTATGACAGAGAGAAGGGAGAATAGAATGAGAAAACCGTTTCTGTATTATTGTTCAACCCACATATTACAGAATACAGAATGCTATTTATAAGACTAACAGCTTCTAACATAAGCTGTTAGATTAGCTTCTAACAGAAGCTGTAACAGCCTAATAGACAGAAAATTAGTTACACAACTTAACAGATAGGTAACTATACTACTGCTGTACAAAAGCAGAATATGAAAAGTAAACTAACAATAACAATGGAATAAATCAGAAAAGATAACTGGAAGATAAGGAGTAAAGTTATACTCCAATAAATAATAATAAGCATCAGACGCTAGCATGTGAAGGTGTTGGGATGAATAAAGTGATACTTTTAACAGTTTTGGACGGAAGTTTTTCAGTACCAATTTACAGCTTGCTACTGAAAATGTGATAGAATAATGTGTCTGAAGTCATTCCTGACCTTAAAATATAAAACAAGAGGGTAGATAAGTAAACTCTCGTTGATACCTTGACTAGAGAAACAAGTTGCTATAACTTCCAATTGCCTATCCAAGTAAGCAAATCATGTCATTTGTACAAAGTCTTACTATAGAACTGAAGAGAATGTGGCATGCATAAACAACTTCAACAGAAAAGTAAACATAGATTTGACTTTGCCCTCACATTCTCAATGTGGGCATTTGGTCTAGTGGTATGATTCTCGCTTAGGGTGCGAGAGGTCCCGAGTTCAATTCTCGGAATGCCCCTATTTTTTAACATATTTATCTGTGCCTGTATTATCCTTATGCGAGTTTTGTCATTGACTAGGCATCAGTCACAAAGATTGTGGTATGTGATTTTATGTCTAAGTAGGCCATTTGAACTCTAAAATCTAGAATGAAGTAATACTGTTAAATCAACTATGTTATTTCAAATTGAATGGAAAGAGAATGTGAATTGTTGTCTTGTCCATGATGCCTGGCTCAAAAATATCAAATTCTTAAAAACAAATGTACAAAAACAGTTACTTACTCCATTCAGCAT